AGACATTCAACAGTCATTGTTTACCGATTGCTTTTTTATTAAATTACATTGTATAAGCATATTTTATTATTTGTTTTTACAATTTTTGATTAAAATTAAAAATATTAAGATACAATTATATAGGTATAAACGTATAATATTTTAGAAATTACAAAATTTGGCTTATCGTGTTTGTGTGTAATTCAGATAAACTAATAATAGTGTTATAACTGAATGAGAGTGACTTATCCTAACATTGTCTTAATTTCTCAGAAATCACAGTGACACAGCCCACAACAGCTGCACTTATATACATGGCAATAAATCGTAAAAATTGAGAGGAATGCACATTTAGTTTTTAATCGGTTTTACAAAGCATTATCACTATACCTATATTAAAATATATATTATACAATGTATATGTTGTATAACAGAATGAGTTGACAAATAAAATAACTTTAATTGTTCTAATGATTATACTATTGACAAATTTTTATTATATAATTTTTAGACGCTTGATTTAAAGTACAGCAGACATTTTTATTTCTTGGTATTGAAAATGTTCAGTAATTTTTATTGAAAAATTAAAAATCGTTAATTTCTTAAAAAATGTTGATGGTAAAGACGTAAAAACGTTTATTTAAGTCAAGTACCTATAGTTAATTTTTTCCAATTTTTTTAAATATAAATATTTTTATGGTTATAAAAATATAATATTTTATATGAGTTTAAAACCGTAATAACTTTTTTCAAAAKATTATTTTAAGGGTTATTCRGACATAAGTAGATCTTAAATCATTTTTTCCCATACGTTTGGCTAGAATTAATTTTTYTTAGCATATTGTTACGCCCTATACCTAGTACTTATTAAAATAAATGAGCAATTATTTGTTCACGTTAAATTTGCCARWTTACGTCAACCGCATCTTTGATAATTTCTATCGCCTTGCGGCACGCTGTGGGTACTCACCGCCAACGGGTCCGCCACGGACGACAAGAAGGTCATTATCGGGCTYTTGACGTGGTTCAGATAGGCGATCGGAGCCATTGCTGACATCGACCGGACCTTGTCCTGATAATCTGGTCTCTCCGAACACAGCACGTAAAATATGGCCGTGCCCATCGAGTGTCCAACGTAGTTCAAGTCTGGTTCGCCCGTCTTGTCCAAGATGTAATCGATCGTGTTGGGCAGGTCAATTGTGCCCATCTCGTGCCAGCTAAATAATTATAACGTGTTATAATTGTGTAAGCGACAAAACGACGACACCCGCGAGAGCACGGTATTTATCATATTATACCAGTTTACTTATGCGGTATCATAAAATGATATAYAATATTCTTATTTTAAAATCCATTATAGTATACAAATACGATAACTTAAGAGGACGCTAACACATTCGCATGAGTTGTCTTCGCGCCGTCTTACAAGTGCGTAACATAGCAAATTGTACGTTTAGCTTCGTTAGTTTAAAATTTAAAGTTGAATAATATTGTATCATTATATTATTTTAGATGAAACAATTATACGGATATTAACATAAAAGTATTATTATGCCTGCCCGCATCGCTTAATATATCATAATATTATATATATAATAATATGTATACAATAAAATCTCTTTATAACGGAATCACTCACCGGTACCAACTGATTTTTTAGTAATAAAAGATTTGTCGGGAAACCAAAATATACTGGAAACAGGTTACACAGGACTGTTAGGTACTATTTTTCACTGTAATAATTAGAAGATTTCTGTTTTGTAAGGGATTCGTCATAAGGAGGTTTTACTGTATATTCTATTTATTGGTATTATATACATTGTTATTATGTTATTCACCTGAAATCCCAAAACTTTTCCGGTTCTCTCGYCGGGTCTAGGGTCACGTGGTTTCTAGAATACGTGTTTCCCCGGGAATTTGCAAGCCACACGTCGTATCCCGCATCAGACAGTATGAACGCTGAAAATACGGCGAGTGGTCAACAATGGCATTCGTAAAAATATAATGCCTACATGATAATAATAAGTAATAGAATAATTATTGCAATCTCACTACAGTTGCTCTTTCAGAGTCGAACTATAGTTGTCATATGTCCCAGGATTTTGATAACAAGTTACCTAGGTTCTGTTATACTATATGATTTGATGTCATTATTATTAAACAGATATTATAATCAAATAAACAATAGTGTTTTATACTTTTACCGTTAAACAACTCAATAACTATATCATAATACGCTTTCATCAGGTACCTACCTATTATATACCGTTTATGCGTTTTTGACATCAAACTAATTACAATTATATTACCTAGTGCCTAGTATACCTACCTTTATAATTATATAATTATTTATTATATTATATCATAATGATACCTAATTATGTATATATTTTTAATGTATTCGTAATAAGTATGACTAATTTTAAGTTTGTATAAAGTTTTTTAAAAATGTCAACTAAAAACTACAACGAAAAAAGTATATATGTTTGAACCCTCTTCCCATTGATTTAAATATAAAATAACATAATATGTATATTGTATAACTAGCCTTCRTTAGCCGACAATTTAAAAAAAATATCTGATTGAATTTTATACTATATATATATATTTGTCTCGTATACTTGATACTTAGGGTATAAAAATAATATCTCTTCCTCACACACATAGACAACACTTCAGAACAAATACTTCCACTGGCTTCTAACTGTTCCGAGTAAAACCGTACAGTATACGCGGAGATGATTTGTCTCAGAAAAATACTCACCTAGACTGCTGTTGGGTCCTGCRATCACCCAGTCCGTCGAACTGCACAGTATTCCGTGTTGGACCAGCACCGCCGGTTTTCTGGTGAGGGCCGTCAGGTCATCGTTTCTGCTGTACGGTATCCTGTGCAGCGTCAGGTTGTAACCGTCTGCCGTGATCACCGTGTGCCTCTCTGCCGGATATCCTTCCTGTCTGATGTAGTCGTCCTATTCACAGAAACGAGAGCGATCAGAGGTTATTAGGAGGGATTTTTCACACAGTCACGCGGACACATGTACATAATGCATGTATAATTGAAGGTTAATGGTGGTGGGGGTAGTGAGGGTATTCTAATATCAGTATAAATTTCATTTGTGCGCGAAAAAACAAAAACAATACATACTATAACAAAAAAAAAAATAAAACACATAAAACCACTATAAATATAATATTTATCCATCTTCCATAGTAAGTTGTACAGTAGACAAAAAATGTATGTATGTACCTAGATATCTAAGAATATTTTTATATCTACATATGGAACTTAAAAGTTAAAACTTATCGATTGGACATTAATTTGAATAATAACATTCACCAAACCGATACCAATCAAGATAAAACAGCGTCATATAATATTAGGCCTATAGGTTTTTATACAGGCCTTTAAATATACAGATATTATAATATTTCGTGTACCTATATTACACTCATTTGGAGATTCGTCGAGGTACCTATAACATACATAGCATATAATATTATTATATACTTAGTATACGGTATAACGTATAAGATATAAAGGTGATGGTCATTAAAAACGATCATATACAATTTGACGTCAAATCGTGTAGGGATTATTTAAATTTTATTTTTCAACACAATATTCTCGTTTAGTATATTGATAAAAATTATAAGTATACAATATTTGAACTGGAAATTTGTCTGATGTGTGTATGCACATATTGCATATACAAACTMTTAGATGTGTAAGTATTAAAAAAAAATTGACATAGAATACGATAACCATTTATCAGGATGTCGATACTTTTGGACGAAATGTCATACAGAATCAGTTATTGAACGGCTGTAATAAAACATTTGCGTTTTGTAAATCTCGCATACGTTTGTTAATGATAATATATTATAATAATATATATCAAGCATAAATTCTATATATAAATATTATTACTCATTGTATAGTGACAGTATATTGCGATCGACTTGACCACGGTTTGTTGGTGTCCTTTCCGTACATTATCACTTGTAAAATTAATACTTAATATTTCCATACAATCTAATAACTATAGGTACCAATATAAATATTAATTTGCAAAAAAGTGTAAATTTTCGCGACCTCGCTATACGTTGCAGCTCAACATTCTCATTCTGCATGCAGTAATATCCTGCACAATATACAGTAGGTATGTGTACAGAGGAAAAAACGCTTTCCCTCAATTCATCTCGACGGACTTTTTTATTTTTTGCGAGTGAATGAGCTTTAGTCGTGTTGTGAAGRGAGCATATAATTATTCGCGTCACGAATTGACACACTATCGGCGAGTGTTGCATATATTATATTTTATACATAAAAAGAATATTTTTTGACACATATAAATGATAATACAGGTACTGCAGTATAATAACAGTTAAGGTCGTCAAAGGTCGAGAAATGAGCTTTTTCAATAGCATTTCTTTTTCACACTCTCAACCTTTGCCCGTCTTATCCGTGAAGATTAAGCCACGTATATAATAATAATATCTGATGACATATATTAATATATTATAATCTATCCAATACTATACATATCCGAATGACGAATGCGTTGACTAGTATTTACTTAATTTTACTTATATATATTACGTTCAATACCTACTGTATAGTGTATTTATATTGTGGTGTTTGAAAAACGATCCCGCCTATACCAGATGTGCCAACATTTTATTAAAAAATATGTTGGTGTTCTTTAATGTTGTATTAAACTTAGTTAAATAATATATTATACAACCAAATTACATAAATAGGTACTTTACATTTTACACTAATAAAATAAAATTCAGTAGGTAGTCAGYRAAATTAAAGATTATGCGAAAAAAATATTAKTGTCCCTGTTTACACAGTTAATTTGTATAACTACTGAGGCTTCCTACGCGCTACTGCACTGATTATTATTTATAATTGCCAAATAGTTGCTACCAGTCCTCTGATGTGGCTTCTAATTTGCATGAGATTTTATCCTGCAACCTACAATAGTTATTAATTTATTTTAGATATTTTTAATGAATACGTGGCCAACAAATGTATATACTTATTTAAAACCGTATTTCGATATTTGTAAATCGTTTTAATCGACCACTCTCACTGATATATAGACGGTGAAATCTTTCGAAATGACACAATGTTATGGCATAATTATTTTTCCAATCATTATAATATTATGTTGCGAACGATTTAGGAATCTCATCCTATAATTATTATCGTTTAGCACGTTAAACCAATCTGCAATTGCGCTCGGATTTCGCATGGCAAAGACAAATTCGTCGTCGTCTATCGCACGCAATATACGATTTGGAATAAAATAATAATGCATGATAATCTTTCATCGCTGATTATTATATTTAAACGTGTTTACTATAATATATAGTATGGGTACATGATGTATTTTATGGCATAATTATTATTTTAATTATTATATTGCTAGGTGGCGTCCACGGTTTGAGCAACGGTGCAAAACATTTCGAAAACTGCGGCGGTAGACCTGCAACGATGTATACATTTTCTGTACAGAGACACCTGTGGCGATAGCGTAGTTGGTATTGCGGCTTGCGCGTAAGCCCGTAAAATAAACAATAAAACGAAAATAACAAAATTAAATAATTATTTTACACACACCCGCGTGCACATGTAATACACCGTAATGATGATACTATATGATTATTACTATGGATGGGGACGAGAGGATTAAGTGCCTCCACAATCACTCACGATCGTTGCGCAGTCGTAGATCGTGTYTTAGGTATATTGTGTATAGTGTTGTCGAACACGAAATGTACCTACATGTGTTATCGTCTTGTATTTTTTTATTTCAATATATCGCTTGGCCTCGTATCGCGACACGGCTGCAGGTTATGGAGATAAATAACAATTCATATTATATTATTATATATATTAATATATTATATAGGTATTCTCATTACATCCGCGGTTGACCTAACAATATCTGCTAAATGGTCAGGGATATCTTGTCGATATAGGTATAGTCAAAAAGTGTATTGTACTTGTAAATTTATATTATGATCTCAAATAACAAAATCGAGATCGACCAATCTCGCGTCACTATAATATTATGGGTACCTATACTTTGAGCTCAATTTATGCTATAAACTGCAGTAAACAATCAATGGATCGCACATGATGACCACTCGTGGCATCTAAATTTGGGGACCTTCGACACCCAACTACTACTGCAAGGCTTTCATAATGTCACATTAATTGTACGTATTAAAGGTACCGAAGTACCTATCCGCTATTTCACTATCATGGTCACATAACAAGTACTTATAGGTGACTACGGGCCATGGCCAGTCGGACAAATGGCCTGACCTATAATACTATGACTGAATAACATTATATTACATAGGTAYTGCAGGGATAATAAAATCTAAAATTCAATTAAAAATTTATTTTGTAATAAGGATTTTTTCATATCTATCATTTAGCCTGTCCTAATAAAATCATCACAAAACAAACAAACGGTTTAAGTGCGCGWTGGTCTAARATTGCCAGAAGACGACAAGTGACGAGTTTGCAGATATTCGTTATAAATGATTCCCGCATCATCAACTATAATATATCTACGCGACAGTACAACACTTCGTCAAACATTGTCATAAAATATCTACCGTCGGTTTAAAAGAAATCGGTCCAGAGATCGATGATGACTATATTATGTATCACAATAAATTAACAATAAACGTTGTATCAAACTAGTAACAATTTTATTTTACGGTCTGCTGTTTTCGTCTTCCGCGCCKTTAGATTTTTCTCATCAATGTCGATTATCGTTTACAGATTGTCATTTATTTTAAATAAACAGGAAAGAGGAAGTTGCGGAGATGACGAAGATTGTACATAGCACACAACAATATTGTATATAAGTGTCGTGAGTCGTGTTTCGTGTACAATCCGTCTGGTCTCGTATCGCGCGCGCTTTGCATGGGAACGGTCGCGGAATCGCGATCGCCGCAGAGTTCACCGATTTTTCGCCGGCGCGCTTATCCGTGACCCCGTTTGTCAGCTGTATCGGTTACAACAAACATTAATATTAGTAATAAATGCAGTCTAGCGCATTGAATATATATTATATTATAGCCTTTTATTTTAAGGCGTTTTAAATTTTTAATGTTTTATACCCGTCAACGAAAAACTTTTGCAACAACAAATTTGTGTGATTATACCAAATGCATATATTATTATGCAGCATCTATCGGATACGAATATAGTCGTCAGTTTTATTAGTATTTTACAAATTTTTTTGACCTATCGTTTTGATTAGACGTAGCTAATCGCGATGGTTTCTACCAAAAACACTATTTTTTTTTAATCATGTACGCTGAAGTTAATTACCCAGTAATTATAGGTACCATATTATTTTACTTTTGTCATTATTTATATACTTACCATATAAATAAGTCCGACCATGGACCACGGTACGCTGTTAAATTGTATGTTTAGATACCTGCAGGTATCTATATTATTACGTAATAATATATTTGATAATTATTTTCGTTCCACGCGCAGTCCGTTGATATCGCAATACCGTGCGAAAAACCACAGTGTATTTCGTTTTTATATCATACGATGGTTTCTCACGGCAAAAAAATAAAGATTAAAAAAAAAAAATCACGACCGCAGTACACATTATAGACATTTTATGTTATTCACAATAATATATACGCGCGTATCTATTGCGAAGGGTTATCGCTATTTCTATGTGCAACAGTGCAATACACATCATGAAAGCTGCAGCTATAGCTCATATGCTAATTTTGGGGCGTTCCACGAGTGATTTTTACACATAGGACTCGGCTTTAAGAGTCTTCTCCAAGAATAAGCTGGACGATGGTTTAATGTGACTTTATATGGGGTCAAGTCCCTGGTAATATTTCGGACGAAGTGCCCAAGCACGTGCGTATACAACGTGTTATGAGATACTTAAGCTCGTGTATCGTG